TAATATATTCAACGGAGATATACTTTTTAACGGTTACAATGACCATATTTTAGCAAATTTTGTTGTAATTACTGTAAATTATTAAGTTAATATGGTTCGAACACAATTATTTCGATTATTTGTTTGATATTTACGTACTTATGAACGGTTAACATAATTAATAAAACTAAAATTTACAACCTTGAAATGATAATATAATTAATCAAATTAATATTTCATAATTTGAATAGGTTTTTTAATTATGTCGAAAAATTACTACGAAATTAATATTAGGGTCTTATTGAAAATATATGTAATCAATCAGTATTCTCTTTAAGTCAATTTATAATCAATGAATATTAGTCAATGAGTAAACAAAAAAAAATTAATGTTCATATGTAAAATTTGCTAAGATTAAAGGATAATTATTTGCTAAATATAGATGAAAATATTTTTTCGCCTAAAATTATGTCAATTATAGTAATAAAGATTGATCCATTATATAGATATAGATATAGAATAGATGAATGGATGATATGCATAAAAATATTATGCCGTCATGCAGTATTCAATGAAATGAAATACTAAATCTAAGATAAATCTCATTTCAAGAGTGATTGTACTAGAACTTAAAATTATCAAGATGGTTCGATAGAATTTTTTTTTTTTTTTTCTACTAGGGCTTTTTTTTCCATTCAGTGTTATTCATCCAATGAAACGGAACAGTTTTGTTATGGAGCCATCAGATGGCTCGGTTTATGGAGTCATCCACAGTTATTCACAAATAATGTATCGACACGTGTCATGCAATAAATGCACTTTGAACAAGTGTAAATACACTAAGTCATGAATGACTTCATAAGCAAATCATTTGATTGCTCCATAATACTTTTGTGAAACGGAATACTAAATGTAAGATAGATCTCATTTCAAGAGTGACCGTAAATTTGTAATAGGATTTAAAATTATAAAGAATTCTATACATTATTTGACCTCTTAAATGTGGCCACATTCTTCCATTATTTAAAATTTGTGCACAACTACCAACATGGGTTGACTCAAGTGGTGAGCATCTCGATGTCGCTTAAGTGTGGTCTCGGGTTCGAGTCCTTGTAGATGCAGAAAATTCTTGTTGGAAGACTCACCCACCACTGTTAAGTGTGCGACCCGAATCGTCTAGCGAATTAGTCGAGGCATAACTCTAAATACCGTGGCGGTTAAAAAAATAAAAATAAAAATTGCGCACAACTGCGATATCTGAAAAAATATTATGGCTATATTTGGTACATTTTAAATTGACTTAATTGATAAATGATATAGTGAATTTAATTTATAGCTTCGTCTTGATTTGTAAATTAACTTATTATGTAAAATATTTGTGAATAATTAGTTGTTTGATATGAAAATATAATTATTTTTACACGTCCCAAAAATCTTATATATTGAAAAGCTTCAAAATTTATTTATTTATTTATTCACCTTAAATCTTTATCTCAAAGTTTTGTCTACCAAACAAACCTCTAACTTGGTCCTAAAAACGTTTATTATTTATGACCATAATAGAACTCTTGAAAGAAGAATAATTTTGAAGGAAAATAGTGTGACATTAACAATGAAAAAAACCAATGTTTCAAATACCGTGTCGGCGAGTATTACCGGTAATACCGGTCGTCCCACTGGTACGATTTGACTCTAAATATTGTTTTGGTAAGAAATGCCGATTTTACCAGTTTCATACCGAAAAAATACCTGTCAAAGTAACAGTTAAAACGTCAGGTATACCATTTTTTTTAAATAGTTTTAATATATTTTTATTATCTTATTTATATAAATTGAAAGTTCATTAACACTCAATTTTAATACGTTTACATTGTTATTAGATTAAAATTTTAGTATTTATTAAAGTTAGTTCTATACATGATTAATTTATATTATAACAATAAATTAATTTAATATATATTAAAATCAACAAAATAGACGGTAAAACTGGTTGAACTGCGTACCTAGGACTTTTCCGATATGATTAATGGTACAAGGCGTGTCAAATTTAAAAAGATATCATATGAAATGGGCAAATGTCTTTATATTTGTACTAGTAACCTTCTAATTCCTATGATTTTGACCAATCATGAGGGAAAATGACGCTAAACAAAATCCCGAAGTCCATCAAATAGTGATAACTATATAGGGTGAAATGAACAACCTTCATACAAGAATGATGCAATTCATAGTACTAAATATAGAATTTATCCCCAATCTGATAACAAATATTTGTTGACTGATGCTAAAAGATAACTGATACTCATTATTTATGTAGGGGGTGATTATTATATATGACCATTTTTTTTCTAATTAAAAGGAGAATTTATAGATTTTCCACTTATACAATTTAACAAGAAAATATTCTGATGTAGAAGAAACCATATGTATATTATAAATATCATCTCATAAGGCATCACTTAGTTAAGCATTTGTGTTCTCATATATAAAGTTTTCTTAGGATTAACTTGAGAGAATGTGGCATGCGATATCAAAGAGGCCTTCAATCCTTTTTTTTCTTTTTCGAAATGATATGAATTCTCATATAGTCACAAAATAAACGAGACTACAGAACAACTATTCAGCCGAATAAACAACCAATAGTCAAATAAGCTGATTAGATGACTCTAATAGAGAGGACTACACGTACAGACAGACGGCAACCTAGAGTCAACTTACAACACCAAACACAACTAAAAGCTAAAGGAGAAGAAACAAAAGTTTCCAACAGGAGAATAGGTCTAGTAACATACTCATCCCACAGACCTTAGAAATATTATAATACTGAGTAATGGACAGTGAACCTTGATCCATTGTGCTAAGTGAATTTCCATTTGAAAAAGAATACTCTAGTTCCACTACTCATACCATAAGGACTCTTAATCGCGTCCCATACATCTCTTGCAGAAGTAAAAAAATAACAAGGATTTCTATATTTCTTTTGGAACAGAATTATACAACCAAGACATGACCAAGTTATTTGCCTAAAGGACAACACACTACCACGAAACATAGTTAATTTTCCCATTGAAAAGCACAACTATGAGGGCGCTAGGATTGTCGCTAGCGTGCAGGCAATAGGGCGTTGAGGGGTCATCGGTGGGATTCAGAACAACAACCACGATGTATATTGAAAACTATACACAAATCTAAGAGATGTAGATCGAAAGCTACAGATCTAAGAGATGTAGATAAAACCTGTAGATCTAAAACATGTAGATAAGAAAAATATAGATCAATCGGGTTTCAGAGATTGATAACTCTAAAAGATGGATCAATTGAATCTCGGAGATTGATAAACGATCGAATAAAAAAAGGTGAAGAAAAAATGTATCAAAATGTGGAAGCAAAAATGGAGGAACGCCGAAGAATGATATCATGTTAGCACAAGATTGAGATTACAGAGAGAGATCAGACAACATGGAGAAGAAGAAGAAAAAGAAGAAGAAGTAAGCAATTGAATTTGAAAATAAAAGTTAGGATTTACAATTGCGTTAGATAGGTATTTATATCTAACGTCATGCAGAGGAATAATAGTAATGTTACATGACAAATCTAAAGTTGCTATTATCAATAGCAACTTTACAATTATTCATAACATCAATATTGATAACTAAAATAATACATGTGTATTACACGGGTGTTGAATTAAGAAGCATATATAAAATTTATTAGAACTTTTATTCGACTTTTTTTTTACACTAAAATAATTGTGTTTTACTTAAACTGCCAAGCTATATGTTTCCAATCACTATATAGTTAAACTCCATAATTTTAGAATTTTTGAATATCAAACTATATTTTTAAACTTTATATGCGATTCTAGAATTTTAATAATTAATTATTTATTTTTATTAAATTGACAACATACCAATTAAATTAAAAAACAAAAATCATTTGTTAAAAAGTAATATCATATTACTTCATCTTCAATATGAGTAATATGTGAATATCGAAGAGAATAAATTGAGAAATAAATTAATATAATTTATTTAAGAGAAGATATGTAATAGAAAAAAAATTAAAATACAAAAGAAAAGTATTATGATGGAAGAAAAATATGAAATGAAATAAATAATGTCAGCTTCAATTATTAAAGTAAAATATTGAATATATTGTAGAAATAATCATACTTAATTGACATTTGACATGATACCCAAACCAAATTATGTATATCAATTCAAAACATGAAATTATGACAAATAAGACTTCGAAACATGCGAAGCTGTCACTTAAGCTCAACATATTCGAGAATTATACATAAAAAGTTATGATATATCATATTTAAAAACTATAAACAAAAAATGGCATCTTAGAATATATGTATGATTTTATACTAAAAATAGTGGCTAGCTAATTCATCTGATTATTTTTTTTTTTTTTTACGAAACGATAAAGATATTATATAACGACGCACCAATGTACAAATGTACATCCACTAGCTAAATACAAACATTCAATAATTGAATAAACTAGGAGGACAAATCAAAAAACTTTCTAGAACCGACCTCGACAGGGCAATATTAATTCAGCTTGTTGTTACACCGTTGGAACCAACATCAAAATTATTGTGTTAGGCTAAAGATAATCTGCCCATAAATTACAATCAAAGTTCAAGAAAGTTGAGAATTTTGTGTTGGAAATCTTATGGGACCCAAACCCAAATGGTGGTGGGATTGTGCATTATCCTACGCTACAATAATTGCCTAGTCTCTCTTAGGGTCAAATTAATTTCAACCTTTTATTATAATTATTATTATTCTCGATTAGTCGGTTCCTCTGTGAATCTAGAAATCGGAAGGTCCCTGTACAAAAAAAAAAAAAAAGTTAAAGCCTTTATTTCTCCTATATATACCCCAAGCCAGCCTTTGCTCCTTCACACTCCTACAAAACCAACTTTCGAAAATTACTATAGCCAGCCAAATTACCGGGATATTACCACAACAGTCCCTCAAATTTGTGTCCGTATTCAAAAGTAGCTCATGCGACCATTAATGGGAGAGACCACAGGACAACACAAAGACCTTGTTTTCGATATTTCCATTAATGTCCCTGCTCAGACAGACTCCGACTGCTTTGACGACGATGGCCGTCTCAAAAGAACGGGTATTTATTTTACCTTTTTATTATAATTATTATTATTTTTTTTTAATTAGAAAAACTATTATTTTGAAAAATGATAAAGGCGTGTGCCTGCTAATAATAACTATTTTGGTCTTCTCTAGGCACTGTGTGGACTGCAAGCGCACATATCATAACGGCCGTGATTGGTTCTGGGGTTCTGTCCCTGGCTTGGGCCGTGGCCCAACTGGGCTGGATCGCAGGCCCAACTGTCATGCTCTTATTCTCCGTCGTGACATATTACACTTCTACCCTTCTCGCCACGTGTTACCGGTCCGGCGACCCGGACACCGGAAAGAGGAACTACACATACATGGACGCTGTCAGGGCCAACTTAGGTGAACAAAATACGTATAATATTTTATTTTCTTTTATGGCCTTTCGTTCAAGATTCTGATAATTTCATTTTGGCCCCTGCTCTGTTCTTGAATTCGCTCAGGTGGCTTACAGGTTAAACTTTGTGGGGCAATTCAGTACTTGAATCTTTTTGGGATTACAATTGGGTACACCATTGCATCATCCATAAGCATGATGTAAGCATGTTAATTATGGAAAATGCTACAGTCCCGTTACGGAATTATTTCGTCGGGATTTGTAACCGTTAGATTATCATGTAACCGTCATGGATAGTTGATCTAACGGTGACAAACTCCGACGGAATAGTTCCATAACGAGACCGTAGCATCTCCCGTCATTATTCATTCATTATAAATAGCAAATTAACAAAAGTTTGGTATTTTTTTTTTTGTAATTTTTGTGAAAAAACGTATGTAACAGGGCAATTGAGAGGTCAAATTGCTTCCACTCAGAAGGAGATGAAAGCCCATGCAGAGTGTCGAGCAATCCATATATGATTGCGTTTGGTGTTGTGGAGATAGTTTTGTCACAAATCCCAGATTTTGATCAGATTTGGTGGCTCTCTATTGTGGCTGCTGTCATGTCCTTCACTTACTCCATCATTGGTTTAAGCCTTGGCATTGCAAAAGTTGCAGGTTTATAAGAAACTAACAAAATAATAATGGGAGATGCTATGGTCCCGTTACGGAACTATTTCGTCGGGTTTCGTAACCGTTAGATGAACTATCCCCACGATTACATGATGATTTAACGGTTGCAAATCCTGACGTAATAGTTCGTAACAGGACCGTAGTATTTCTCATAATAATACTTCATCGAGTTTTTATTTATTTATTTATTTGTCAACACAGAAAATGGAATAATAAAAGGGAGCCTGACTGGAATAAGCATTGGGACGGTGACTCAGACTCAAAAGATATGGAAAAGCTTTCAAGCCCTTGGAGCCATTGCATTTGCCTATTCATACTCAGCCATCCTCATTGAAATTCAGGTATTTCAATTTTAAACCCCAGCAAAAAACTCAAATTGCAAAACCCACCCTTGGGACAAAAAATCATTTTGGGCCTTTTTCGTAATTACACCTAATATCTAGTGCAAGCCAAAATCCCCAATTCAAAATCCGAATTCTGTTCATCCACAGGACACCGTGAAATCGCCGCCGGCGGAGCACAAGACGATGAGGAAGGCGACGCTCATAAGCGTTTCCATAACCACCGTCTTCTACATGATGTGCGGCTGCTTCGGGTACGCCGCCTTCGGCGACGCAGCCCCCGGCAACCTCCTCACCGGATTCGGCTTCTACAACCCCTTCTGGCTCATCGACCTCGCCAACGCCGCCATCGTCTTTCACCTCATCGGCGCCTACCAGGTCTTCTGCCAGCCGATCTTCGCCTTCGTCGAGAAGCACGCCGCGTCGCGCTTCCCCGACGGCGAAATCGGAAACACCGACATCAACATCCCCGTGCCGGGCCTCCGGCGGCCGTATCGGCTCAATCCCTTCCGGCTCGTGTGGCGGACTGTGTTCGTGGTGCTGACCACGCTGATCTCGATGCTGCTGCCATTCTTCAACGACGTGGTGGGGATTTTGGGGGCGCTAGGGTTCTGGCCGCTGACGGTCTATTTTCCGGTGGAGATGTACATAGCGGCGAAGAGGATCCCGAGGTGGAGCACGCGGTGGATCAGCCTGGAGATTTTGAGCGTGGCCTGCCTGGCGGTGTCGATCGCCGCCGGCGCGGGTTCGGTGGCGGGGGTCGCCGAGCATCTCAAGTCGTTCAAGCCTTTCCAGACTAATTATTGAGACAAGATTTGATGTTATAACTTTAGTTTAAAAAAAGGGATGTTTTTGAGTGTTTGTGTGTGTGTTGAGGTAGAAGGGTAAAAAAGGGGAGGCATTGTATATTTGTCAATGTGGAAATTCTTGGATTTATGTGTGAATTTTCACTTTCTCCATAAATATATTGCACTTGATCTTTATTCTTGGCTAGGAATGTTTGTGTGTTTGTTATGGCCGAGTCGAATCGAATATTGATTAACCGTATTAAGTTAGGCTTGGACTTTTTTTTTACTGTTGTTCGAGCTCGAGCTCGACAAGTCGAACATTGTTACACTTGGCTCGCCTCAACTCATTAGAAAAAATGTGAATGCTTAAGATTAGGTCAAATATTGTTCAAGTTGGGTTTGAAATTTCAATACTTCGTGATCATAAAGTATCAGTGAGTTGGCAAGTTCTATTGAAAGGTCACTTGACCGACGATACTTTATGGATCTGAGTGTTGGGCTACTAAATATGAAATTGATCAAAAAATGTGAGTGAGAGAGATGAGAATGTTAATATTGATGTGTGGGCATACTAGGTTAGATAAAATTAGAAATAAAGTTGGGATAACACTCATAAGATAGTTTGAGCATGTGCGTAGTAGAGACTTTGAGATTCCGATGAGATGATAGAAACATTAGAATTAAGAAGCATGGGTGTAGCAGAGACTTCGAGACAACATTAGAATTAAGAAGCATGTGCGTAGCAGAGACTTTGAGGCGCCGATGAGAAAGGTATAAACATTACAATTAAAAAAACGTAACAGGAAACAATAAAAAATGATTTGAATTATTTAAATTTGAATGATGATTTGTGTTTTGATCAAGTATGATGGCGGCATGCGACTCATATAGCCGATATATCCCACTTAGTGGAATTTTAATAGCTTGTTGTTGTTGTTGTTGGTTTGAAATTTCAATAAAACCGTTACTGGTACTTGTTTGTTTGTTTTCCAGTTGGCTTGATCAATTCATCAAGATTAGTTATTGTTATATACCATACAACACTTGCAAATCCTCAATATTTGCAATTCACATTCTCTCCAAGAAAGCATGTGTAATAAGTGTACGAGTATTTTTGTTTATCAGAACGTGCAAAAATACAGCGTGAAGAAATAAATTATAGTCCCTCAAACTAGCATGAGATTCCACTTTAACACAACAAATTTTAGAGATTCATATATATATATTTTTTTATCCTGTTTCATGTCTAATTTCGAGCTGATTATTGATCAGTTACTTTCAAATGGTAAATGTTAGAAAATATGGTTGGTATAGTTGGGATTGTTGTACATATAAAATCTATTCGGGCTTTAAATTGGCTCATTAAGACCGAACAAAATGGATGCTCTAAAAATTTTTCTCCTATCGGGCTTACAAATTTGAAAAATTACCGGCCCAAGTAGCATCGCTGGCAAGACCTATCGAACTCTCTATCAGGCAGTTGGTCCTTCAAAAATGTTGATCCAACCTTGTATCTTCCTCTAGAAGAATGGCAATCTCCCTCATGTGAAAGAAAACCACTAAAACATACTAATAAAGCAACCGCACAATCTATCCCATCATCAAAATTCGAGAATTTGCATGGATACACGCGACGCAACCCTACGCACCCTTAGCTAACCGATGAAAATTAATGCAGCTTTACCTTTTGTGTGTGTAAATACGACTACTCATGTCCCTCAAGAAAAACACGACGAACACAACGATCATACGAAAAACACCGCACACACAACATATAGTTTCAATATATATATTTTTTTTTTTTGAAGAATTTTACTCTCCTTGCCTATAATACCTCTGTTTTTATTTTATTATTTATTTACTATATAAAGTATTATTGTTCTACCTTTTGTCAAACATAATTTCTTGTAATCACCGGTATAGTACACGTGTGTTGTATTAGTTATTTAACTATATTGATAATTTTGATGATATTTGGGTTAAGTTCATTAAAGTTAAGTTAATAAAAAAAAAAAATTAAGTTAAAAATGATTGTTTTTTCAATCAAATTTATATCCAATCACACTATTACATGTCAATTCAAACGATATATCATATACAATCGGATCGGGCGTACTGTTTACATAAACTCTACAAGTTGAAGGGAATGCAAGTAGGAATAATGGAAATAGATTTTTAGTTATAAAGAAAGTTGTGCACCAAATGAGATCATTTATAAGCCCCAAATGATTTCAAACTATTTGACTAGGGTCTTAGATATGTAACCAATGCCATCAAAAGTGTGTGTTCCCCAAACACACTACTAATAGAAGACGAAAATAGGACACTTTCTGTCCAATGTTAAATTTCAACAGAGATGGCCTCGGGACCAACCAGCGCCTTGAACCGGTCCGTGGTTTTATCTGGGTTGGTTCAAATTTATGTTTTTTACACAAATTTAACCGTATGTTCTGGTTCGGTGAATTTGATCGCGCGGAACCAATAGTTTGACAAGTTTAAAAAATAATTTTTAATTTTTTTTATTATTTTCAATATATTTATTTTATTCGTCGGTTCGACTATGAACTGGTGGGCTGATTCTGAACCATGAACCCCCTGCTCAATGTATCGACCCATATACCCTAGCCGATTCTGGACCCAAAATCGACATTTGACCACCTCAATTTCAAATCATATCATCTCTGAGTTGAGAAGCACTTCCAGTAGGTAGTCATGGCTAAATTATAGTTTTGGTTTTGTGGGCTCTAAACTGGTCCGATAATATCTATGAGCAGATTCAACGAACAGACATTTTTCAGTTCAGAACCAGTCCACCGATTCCGGGATGAACCAATAAATTATAATAATAATAAAAATTGTCAAACCGCCTCGGAACCGATGGTTCAATTTGTGAAAATTCATGAACTTGAGCCGGTTCGAGTAAACCCAAGGTTAAGAATCTCATTCCTATTCGAAACTAAAATCGACAGTTCAATTTGTGAAATTCATGAACCAAAACCGGCCGATGGGTCCCGGCCTGCGGCCAGGGGACATGACCGAGCTGGTTTCGAGGTTCGCTCGTGGTCATGTCTAACAATAGGCAAATCACGTCATGAGTATTACATCATTTCATGACGTAGAAAGGCTAGTGAAATTATCAACAAATGAAAAGAAAGGTAAGCTCTGTAGGCTTAGTGCATTGTCTCATCGGACATTATTAAATTTTTCGTGTCAACAGACATTGTTGACATCTTATGGAAATTAAAAATCGTGCTTTAATTACATTATGAGAATTAAATTATATTTATATAATAAGCCATCACATTTATCAAAATTAGTAGATAGAAAAGTCAAAGGAAAATTAATGCATGCTATTTTCATCAATAGTTTTATTTAATTACTTTTTACTTATTTTATTTAATGTATTTTATTACTTACTACTTATTACTAAATCAATAAAAAAAAAATTGATCGGTCAACAAAACAAACTTCTTCCAAAATTAAATCAGATTTCACACCTAAATTGAAGTGTTTTGTTGTATGGAAAATCTTTTTTAATGCAATTATAATTATAATGAGATATATAATGCGATATAAATCTGATCATATTTGTTCCTACATATAATGATATGATATAATTTACTTCACATTATCTCTACATATAATGCGATAATGCAATTATACATTATAAATCTCCAAATATTGAATCAGCGTGTTCCTCACTTTCAATCACCTGCGAAAAAAAAACCGCAATAAGTGTGTCATTCATAACAATGAATCAAGAATTTAGCTTAATCAAACAAGTTAGTAGGTTTAATAGACCTATGCTTAAAGTTCAAATTGTAAGAATGTTTTTCCAAGACTGAGCACAACAAATCATATCTTGAGTTGGTTCTACATGATAAAACTGTAAGCCAAATTATTTTTACTTTTTTTTTACGAAATATCAAACATATATTTTCGTGTATATATAATATACATTTTTTATGTTTTTAAAACAAATTATTTTTTCATTGATTGCTTTTTCGTATATGTTTAGGGTAATTGCATTACGCCATGACTACGGGCAATCAACTTGGCTGCGTTCAGAGATAGGAATTTTGAGAGGGCATGGTCATTTGTATAAAAAATTATCAAGTGAACAGCAATATAGGGAAATATCATTCGACATTCGGTGATTTTAAGATCATGCTGCACGGGAGCACTATGTTTACAAAGTGCAAGGGAGAATTTCCTGTATTTCGATTTCAATTTAAAGACTTTGCAACTCTACAATATGTCAACAAAATCGATGAATCGATGTTATTCGATAAGATTATTTCATTTTGCTTCTGATTTTATTTGTTTATTTCAAAGTAATTAAATTATAACATATTGGTTTTTTTATTGTAGATGTTATAGGGTTGGTTGTTAACATTCAAAGTGTGCAAAAAAAAAAACAAATAAAAACTGACGATATCCAAATGGTTGTATTCATTCTTATGGATCTAAAGTAATTTTTTCTTCTGCAGTTTTTTCTGCAATATAATCAATTATAATCATATAATTTTATTATATGCATTACATATCTAACAATTTTGAAATTTAATGCGGTGAAAATTTCGTAAATTGCACGGTTTGGGGTGAATATGTATAGACAAACTTTTGGCTTTAAAGAGCCACTATGAAGAAACTGGTCAACCATGTGTACTGATCATGCAACTTGTACGTTCCAGAGAATACCTATCATGTAATATTACTTTCCAATTATTTCAAATATTTAATATAAATGTTCAACCCATGAAGTATTTTTACTAATCTCATTCTAACCATATTGTTTTGTTTTTCTAATAATTTTTACACTCTTTCCTAATCAATTATTTATTTTTAACATGAAAATGTTTAATATGTTTGTAGAAAAGGTACAGGTTACTACTTCATTAAATGTCTTTATTATATGTTGATGTTTCGCGTGTAACTAATAGAAGAGAGTTGAAGATATTAGTTTGTGAGAATAACGACTTGACTAATAATCAAACTCATAATGTTGTGTACAAGGAG